GAAAATTATTATAGTCCTTCGCAAACATAGACTACCATTCAAACATTTGGGGTTGGTAGGATTTTTTTTTTAAAGAAATTAATACTTTTATTCAGCAAGGATGTATTAAAGTGATCAAAAGTGACATTAAATACATTTATAATTTTACAAAAGATTTCCATTTCAAATTTTGTGCTTATTATTCATCAGATAATATTGAAAAAGAAATTGTGTCATGGTTTCCACAATTGTTTTTAACTTTGATAATAATAAGAAATGTTTCTTGAGCATCAAATCAGCATATGATTTCTGAAGGTCATGTGACACTGAAGACTGGAGTAATGATGCTGAAAATTCAGCTGTGCATCACAGGAATAAATTATATATTACAATAGAAAACAGCTATTTTAAACTGCAATAATATTTCTCAATATTGCTGTTTCTATTGTATTTTTGATCAAATAAATGCAGTTTTGGTGAGCATAAGAGACTTTCTAGAAAACTTTAAAATCTTACCGACCACAGATTTTTGAATGAGAGTGTATTTGTATTTTTTACTTTAAAGGGAAAGTTTTCTTTGTCTTTTGGAACAAGTTAGTTTGATGTAGTTGGTGTTGACATATTGCAACCCCTTCTATCTTATTGAACAGTAAAACAGACTTTTATATTATGATAGTCAGAGGGAGAGCAGCGAAACAAAACCTGACTAACTTTAAAATGAGTTTATTCTTTCCTTAAAGTAACTTCAGGAAAAGTGCAATAAAAAAAATTGTTTCTTCTTTTTGCATAGACGCATTGCTTGCAGATCTCGAGTCTTCCACCGCCCATATTTCCAAGTGCCCAGTGTTTCTACCCGAGGAGACGCCATATTCCTACCCCGGAGGACACCTTTTTCAGGATGACTCCCCTCCTCCGCCCCTGCCCCCTCCACCCTCAGCTGAGGCCCTGAACGGATCGCTGTCCCCGCAGCAGGACTCCCAACACTCGGCACAACAGGTTCAGCACAACCTATCTTAGGACTTTCCAAAATAACTAGTCACATATAATGTCCACATCACCTCCTTGTGTCTTGTTATTGCTAATGGGTACAAATATTTTATAACTACTGTTTGATAGTTCTGTACTTTATCTGGGATTCTCAAATGATTTTACTTGGTACTCAGATTTTATATTGAGCATTAAGTGGTGACCCAAACACAGTACCAGAACTGTTGTATTAAGTCAAGGTTTCCCAAATTTTTTTGTCAGCTGAGCCACTTTGACCTAAAATATTTACTTGAAGTTCCCCTGAGATTTTGATTTAATGTTTCAATAATTCAACACTTGTTCATGGTCCTCTGATTAAAGATGACTGATTTTCTAGATAATGGTCACTTGACATGCTGGTAAACAGCTGAAATATTGCATATTTTTTATTAAAGTTTTGTATGTAATTATTTGTACTTTTTAAATTTAATATAATGATTTACTTTTCATAAACTCACAAACCCAATAGAGTTCCCTAGAAACCCCAGTTTATGAAACCCTGTACTAAGTAAAGAAAAATTAAAAGAAAAAATAAATAAATAATAATAATTAAAAAATAAAAAGTGAAATTTATTAAAATTAGTAAAATTACTGAAATAAACTAGCAATATGAAGAATTAACATGAACCCCTTTTGGACTGTGGCATGCCAGTTGAGAATCAGTGATGTATTACATTTGCATAAAAATTATGCATTTTGGTTTTCTTGTGTTGAAATTCAGTCTCTGGGCTGTGCTCATAAAAGCACGTTGTCTCGGGACAGCAGTCCACCAGCCTCACATACGGAAGAAGACCACGTTTACAGGTGAGTTACAGTATCACGGATAAGAATTGACTGATAATATAAGACTGATAAACTAATACTGATACTGGCCAAGTAAAATAGGTATTAGATATTTGTCATTCTAAGATGTGAGCCACCATAATATCCCTTCCTTTGACCCATGACCTGCTATTATGAAAAATGAAACCTTAAATGGCACACTTCTATTGGTCCAGTTTTCCTAACAAGCAGAAGCATTCGGACTCATCAGCCGCAGCCATGACTTCTGCTCTGGGCAGCAACCTGTCTGAACTGGACCGCCTTCTTCTGGAACTCAACGCTGTACAGCAAAATGCCCCATCTTACTCCACCACAGGTAAACATGAAGACACACTTAAGGCATTCCAAAAAATGTGTTGTTATGCATGAATAGTTATACTGCTTTGATTATGGCTAGAGACATTAAAAAAACAAGTAATTGTACTTTGAAACTTCCTCTCTGTAGAAGATGCTGCACCTCCATTGCCGCCCTGCAGTGTTGCCCACTATATCCAGGAGAATGGAGCCCACCCAGGCATCACACTGACACCGGCAGCCCAGGACAAGCCTCAGAGGAATGGTACAAAGGGGACAGAAGATGGCCGTCCCACTGTAGAAAGTCTTCTGAATGAGTTGGAGAGCTCTGTGCCTTCCCCAACGTAAGACCAGTCTCAACTCTAGATGGAGAAACATGGATTTACATTGTGGGTTTTAATGGAATGATGTAATTTGCGTAAACAGGCCAAGCCCCTGTACTCTGACGAGTGAATTGACGGACACACAGGTGGACACAGCTTCCGAGCAGCAGGGCAGAATATCAGCCACCTCCGCTACACGAGAACTAGATGAGCTCATGGCCTGCCTGTCAGATTTTAAGGTGCAGAGCAATGTGAGTGTGTGTGCATGTGTGACATGGAATGGCTTTTGTTGGACAGAAGTAAGTGAGTTGTGTCTGGGAATGTGTGCTGAACTATGTTGTTTGGGTGACTTATTTTCAGGACTTACTACTTGGCAATCTGGACTGTGTTTCCCAAAAACGTCATAAGCAGATCGTTGAGACCATTGGTGCCAATGGTGTCTACAATCTTCTTGGGCTTACGGCGCTGTTGGGAAACACTACCCTGGCTGGTCTTCATCTGACCATCACAAACTTCACCATTTTATTTATTTACAAATCTGTTTCTGCTTGTCTATGTCTTTTAGCTTTAATTTCATCTCATTACTTCAACATTTTGTCCAGAATCTGTTTTGTTTTTTCCTCAGCTGTTCTGTACATCTCATTAAAGTTTTTTCTTAATTATTTCTCATTCTCTGCCTCCCTTAATCTGTAAATCTCTTCTGTTTCTCCTCTTTCCCTTGTCCCTCCTTTATGTCCTCCAGCCAAGTTCATTGGGTTCCCTGAACTCTGAGTTAATGTTTGAGCAAACTACTACAATTGCTGAAATCCACCCTCCCCCTACAACTGCCGTGTCCAAATCCCTGTCCCCTACCCTCTCAGCGGATCCAAGCCGATATTGCCCAGGTCTCTCCCCTTCTTTAAACTTTGAACTGCACATTGTGGAGGATTCTGGTGAACCGGGGGCTGCGCCTCTACCATCGAGTGTTGTCCCAAAGCCTTCCTCTCGACTGTCTCCACCTGTAGCATCCAGTCCTCATTTTTCTCCAGTACCTGACCTGGGCTTGGATTCTTCCATTGAGGTTTCTGCTTCCCTGCTCTCCTCCCAGGTGGAGTCTCTAGTGGTTCTGTCTCAGACTATAACCACGACTTCCACATCTGGAGGTGGGGACATTTGTAGTATCAGGGAGGGAAGTCCTTCTGCCAAATTGACAAGCACTGGGCTAAAGTCCTATTCGCCTATCATCAAGTCTCCTAGTCCAACAAGTGCCCCAGTGGTCAGCAGAACCAATGAAAGAGTTAGTCCCTTGTTGACACCAGCATCTATTGATCTGTATCTCTCCAGCTCTGAAGCAAAACCTATGAGTCCAGTGTCATCTCTTCCCAGATCTCCACTTCCTACAGTCTCTGAATCACCATCTCTGTCTCTTCCCAAAGCTGTTTCACCCCCTCTAATCCTATCCTCTTCCTCATCTCTAGTGGTTCCCAAGTCCCCAAGCCCAAAACCATCATCGGGACAGCCTGATTCAGCTGTTTCTCTCAAAACCCTTCCTCCCACTGGGCTTGAATCAGCAACCTATGAGCCATCTCTTGATGATGCCTTGGATAAACTTCTTGCCATGAGCTTCAGCAGGCCTGAGAACGAGGCTCCAATCATAGCATCAGCAGCATCACGGCTCGCTTTGGAAGTGCAACCAGAAGTTTACGAGGAGACAATAGTAGTAGGGGATCGCAGCAACATTTATCCAGACACTCACACAGAGAGTGAAATGGGGGATGGGCTCTTGGAGGATCAGTCGGACTGCAGGAGTGATCTTGACTGGGCTGACATGGAATTGAAGATGGTCTACGAAGGACCTGATGGCTCCTTGACCCCCATGACCGAGGCAAGCTGGATGGATGACTCCCTCACTCCGTCATCTTGCCCTGGAACCCCAGATGCCCAGATGGACCTTCCCATGCTCCATATGGCTGGCACGATGGACAGGATCTCAGCCTCTGGACATGTACGGATAGGACTGCGATGCTTGTTGATTGGAATGCGGTGAAATTTGTTTTGGAGTTATTTCAGACAAGTCTTGCAGTGGTTTGATTGCCAGCATCTAAATAAAGGGTGTCCAATCTTGCTCCTGAAAAGCCACCTTTATGCAGAGTTTAGCTCTATCCCTAATTAAACACACCTGAACTGTGCAGGAAAGTGGCTGTCCGGGAGCAGGACTGAACATGCCTGATGTAAATTAAACATGTTAGTCAGATGGATGAAAGTCATAATTGTTCCTTTACACCCTGAATTATTCTTCCTGTAATTGTTTAGTTTACACTCCATTTATGGTAACTTGTAATAGTAAGAACTTGTATGTTGCTGTGTCTGCGCTTGATAACCAGTGGTACCAATGGTACCTCTGTGCACTTGATAACCAACAGTAATTTGATAATCAGTGCTAACCACCACCATGTATGCAAACTCCCAACTATTTTATGCTAACTGATTTTGCACCTGGATTGCATCTGAATGCTTCCCTAGATCCCTGCTTGTCTTTATTGGTTTCTTTGGACAATAATCAACCATTCTTGAGGCATGTGGCATCTCAAGGAGTTTGTACTGCTGTCCCAGATCAAATCAGTTATTAGACGTACCAAGGAGATTCAAAACGTCCACCCCATGTACCGAGATGGCCTGATACGAAGGAAGATGGGCCCCCTGATTTTCCACAAGAGCAACTCCCAGGACCGGCTCATTGAGGAACTGCAAGGCAAGCTGGGAATTGCCCGTAAGGATCGCCCGAAAAAGCAGCAGCCAGACGATTGGCTCACAGAAGGTGTCATTGTCATGTCCAACCCCAAATGCTCACGAGAAGACCACAACAGGGAGGTGGATAAGGTAGACTGGAAGGATCTACGGATTCAGCAAATTCTGTTTCCATTAAATTCCTGAAATTCCCAGATCAAATCAGTTATTAGACGTACCAAGGAGATTCAAAACGTCCACCCCATGTACCGAGATGGCCTGATACGAAGGAAGATGGGCCCCCTGATTTTCCACAAGAGCAACTCCCAGGACCGGCTCATTGAGGAACTGCAAGGCAAGCTGGGAATTGCCCGTAAGGATCGCCCGAAAAAGCAGCAGCCAGACGATTGGCTCACAGAAGGTGTCATTGTCATGTCCAACCCCAAACGCTCACGAGAAGACCACAACAGGGAGGTGGATAAGGTAGACTGGAAGGATCTACGGATTCAGCAAATTCTGTTTCCATTCAATTCCTGAAATTCTTTTGCTTAATTGCATTGAAGTTTCTCTGTAATCACCTGCTTCTTTCTTCTTCATTCCTACTTTCCATCTTTTTCTCTCTCGTCTTCTGTCTTATCGGTGTCTTCCTCTAGATATCACAGCAGAATAAGCCCATTCAATATGTTTACTCAGTCGATGCAATCCATATTTATATGTGGCCAGATCTGTGTTCAGTGCGAACAAAGCCAGTGTTTATTATGGCAGCCTGTATGCATTAATTTAGTGTCACTTCCATTGTAAGTGATTACTGTTTTTCATTTAGATTTTTGAGACACAAGTGGAAATCGGTTCCTGTGGTAATTGACCGCTTGCTACAGATGATAAAAATGTTAATTTTTCTCACCTCACAGAAAGTGGTGACAGCGTTAGATAGAACGTGGCATCCTTTGAGAGGGAAGGACAGCCATACTGCGAGAGAGATTACCATCATTTATTCTCTCCGCGCTGCTACTACTGTAACGGACCCATACTGGATGTGAGAACAAACTATTTTTTAGTCTGAACAGCAGAATAAGCCCATTCAATATGTTTACTCAGTCGATGCAATCCATATTTATATGTGGCCAGATTTGTGTTCAGTGCGAACAAAGCCAGTGTTTATTATGGCAGCCTGTATGCATTAATTTAGTGTCACTTCCATTGTAAGTGATTACTGTTTTTCATTTAGATTTGAGACACAAGTGGAAATCAGTTCCTGTGGTAATTGACCGCTTGCTACAGATGATAAAAATTTTAATTTTTCTCACCTCACAGAAAGTGGTGACAGCGTTAGATAGAACGTGGCATCCCGAGCACTTTTTCTGTGCTCAGTGTGGGGCGTTCTTCGGTCCTGAAGGTGAGTAAATGCTTACAGAAGAGTCCGATCATTACAAGTACCCACAATTATTCATATTTTGCTCATTCACAAGTTTGTAATTTTATTTTTGAAAAGCCACCAATCAAATTTTTCTTTGTATTATTGCATACTTGTTGTAAATACATCTTTGTTCCATTATTTTTCAGGATTTCATGAGAAAGATGGAAAGGCGTACTGTCGTAAAGACTACTTCGATCTCTTTGCTCCTAAATGTGGAGGCTGTGCTCGTGCCATCCTGGAGAATTACATCTCTGCCCTGAGTGCCCTCTGGCATCCAGAGTGTTTTGTGTGCAGGGTTAGTATATGATAATGAAAGAATTTTCATTTTTTTAAGTGGTCTGTTGCTTTAGTTTTGAATATAGACTTGGTCAAAAGTTTGGAATAATTTAAATTTCTTTAACGTTTTTAAAAGTAGTCTCTTCTACTGCCTTCATTTGATTAAAAAATACAGTAAAAAACTGAAATAATGTGTGCTGCATATTAGATTGTGACACTGAAGACTGGAGTAATGATGCTGAAAATTCAGCTTTGATCACAGAAATAAATTACAGTGTATAATATACTACAATAGCAAAAACACGTATTTTAAATTGTAAAAATATTTCACAATATCACAGTTTTTTACTGTATTTTTAATCAAATAAATGCAGCCTGGGTGAGCCTAAGAGATTTCTTTCAAAAACTTTGAGTAGTTAAGAGTAGTCATGTGGTTTTGTTGTGTGCGTGTGTGTGTGTGTTTCAGGAGTGCTTCACACCCTTCGTCAACGGCAGTTTCTTCGAGCATGACGGTCAGCCGTACTGTGAGGTTCATTATCACTCCCGCCGCGGGTCGCTGTGTTCCGGCTGTCAGAAACCCATCACGGGCCGCTGCATCACAGCCATGGGCAAGAAGTTTCATCCTGAGCATTTTGTCTGTGCCTTCTGCCTCAAGCAGCTCAATAAGGGCACCTTCAAAGAGCAAAATGACAAGCCTTACTGCCAGGGCTGCTTCATCAAGCTCTTCAGCTAGAAAGATGTCTGACTGACTGAGTGTGTGAGTGTGTAAGTCTGCATGTTGTGTTGTTTGCCTGTTTTGTGTGTGCGTGTATTTGTTAATCCGGTTTATGTGTCTGACTCTCAACGTCCCCACATGACATTGCTGGTCAGGTTAAAACGATGGTGCCATGATATGTGCTCTCAAAAGCCAGGCTGTTTTTAGAGGGTATTAGAAGAAAGTTCAGCTGAGACTGTAGAGTTATTTTTAGAGAAAGTGTGTGAATGTTTTCTGCTCACTGGATGAGCTGGACAGAAACTGTTTGATGATGAGAACAGTTCAGGAGGGATGATGGGAAACGTGTGCAGCATGAACGTATGAGACACAATCAACAGAGGTAAATGAAAACAGCTAAATGAGTGACTGGAAGTCAAACGAATAACCAACTGGAGCCAATAATTACTGGTGATTCTCATGAACGAATCCAGGTCATATTTCAGTCTGAAACCAAGAGGAAAGATAAGAAATTATATTTTCCATTAAAAACATTTAAGCCATTTTAAGAATATATATATATATATATATATATATATATATACACAGTATATATATTGACTTAATATTTTTTTTTTTATTCTTTTTTGCATTGTGACATTATTTTCAGAAACAAACACATTTTCTACCTTATTTTTCATTATTGTTACAAATACAATCTCATTCTCATTACTGTAATATAATGAAAAAATATCCTGTCCAATAACAACATTTTTATAATAATAATAATAATTATTATTATTATTGTTGTATTTCTTTAAATTATTATTTTTTACTAATAATACTCAGAATGTTGTTGTTGTTGTTTTAAACTCAGTAAAACAAATAGTACTATAAAGTATAAATCCTTCATTGTTATTACTCCTAAAATAGGCGTCATTTTGTTTTACGCAAAATATAATTTATCGTTCGTTCTTTTTATTTAGGTGTGAAATATGGCCCGGATATGTTCTTGCTATGAAAACATCTAGTTGCTGCATTTGCATCATTTTAGCATTAAATGTCACCTCAAAGAATTGCTACTTTTAGTGCCTTGTTTTGTAACACAAATTTAACTGAATTTAAAAGACACAAAGTATACCAAACGTGTAGTTTTGCATACAAGATATAACATGACGTTTCTAATCTATGGTGAAGTTGTAATTGAGAGACTGTTCGGATTATTCCACATGAAGTCTGTGTAGTAACTTCTAATGATTAGTTTAATTATTACTGACATCTGGAACCCATAGATATGAATGTATCCTACTGTTAATGCTCACTTCTGCCGCCGTCTTGTGTGGAATTCGCGGGAGTTTATGCATCTCATCTCAAAGTATTATTTTATTAAAGGAATATATGGGATTAAATACAATTTAAGCCACAGAAAATAATTTCTACTTGTTCTTTAATTTCTTAAATCAAAGGTAAACATGTGTTTACAGTTTTCAAAGTATAACCATGACACTGGTTCCACTGTAAACATATATTTCCTTCATTTTTACACTGATAAATCTAAACTATATTATCTGGCGTCAATGGATCTTAGGTTTTTATTATTATTCTTTAACCCAGAATATTCCAGACTATTCCCCTGAAGGAACCAGTCACATATTTCATTTTGTGAAGATTTTTGTAATAAGAATGACTGACTATTTAGGTTTTATTCACAAAACAAAATTCACTACAAAACCACTAATGATTCTAATGACCCACTCGAAGGAATAGTTCACCCAAAAATTAATGTTTGCTGAAAATGTGCTCGCCCTTAGCCATTCAAGATGTGAATTAGTTTTTTCATCAGATTTGGAGAAATGGATGCTCTGCAGTGAATGGGTGCCGTCAGAATGAGAGTCCAAACAGCTGATAAAAACATCACACCACTCCATCAGTTAATGTCTTGTGAAGCCAAAAGCTGCGTGTTTGTAAGAAATTTAAACTTTTTTAAGTGCTCGATCTGTGCATATTTCTCTCCTAATTTAGACGAGATGACTTTTTCACTGATGGACGTTTTAGTATGAATTATAAACTCGTATTTTAGTCAAAAGCATTTGACGTTAACAACGTCTTGGTGGATTTGTTTCTTACAAACACGCAGCTTTTGGCTTCACAAGATATTAACTGATGGACTGGAGTGGTGTGGATTACTGTGATGTTTTTATCAGCTGTTTGGACTCTCATTCTGACGGCACCCATTCACTGCAGAGCATCCATTGCTGAGACACTGATGCAATGCTACACTTCTCCAAATCTGATGAAGAAACAAACTCATCCTAATCTTGGATGGCCTGAGGGCGAGCACTCTTTCAGCATATTTTCATTTTTGGGTGAACTGTTATTTTAACAGAAATCAAAGATGTGATATTGTATATTATCTAAATAGCTGTGACAATATTGTGCAATTCTCAACCCTTGAATTCAAGTGAGTATCTGATATTGTCTTGCTCACTCTCAGAGACAATTCTAGACAATATTGTAACTGCTGTATTATGATATTGTGATATTATACTATACTAATTATGTTCTCTCTTTTAGATTTTTGTTTCTGTTTTGCATGAAAGTCTTAAGTGTCTTTCAATCATTTTAAAAGGCGAGTTTTGAAAACTCGTGGTGTTATGAAGGGGGGAATCGATGAAGACTTTCTTATATTTTTAGAAACGTGTTGTCACTGGAAATAGAAGTGATTTTCAGATTAAGAATATTAAATTTATACAGTCCCTGGTGTCTGTTGGAACGGTGTGGCTTGTCAACAAAGATTGCAAATATGATTTGTTGGATTCATTGGACAAATATACCAGCAAGTGTTGATTATGTGAACGCTTTTATATGACCCGATGTGCCAGAGATCTGTACATGACATTCTGTCTCCTCAGAAAACGCTACTTTGAAAGTAGAAGATACTTGTTTTGATTTGATTCACTTTGAATATGCCTTCTTTGATAACTCATTTGTGATAATCTGTCGCCGTTTTGTTTTGCTCCTAATTGCTCTGTGCCAAAAAAAAGGTGCGGTGGAAATTGTTGGAACGGTGTGGCTTGTCAACAAAGATTGCAAATATGATTTGTTGGATTCATTGGACAAATATACCAGCAAGTGTTGATTATGTGAACGCTTTTATATGACCCGATGTGCCAGAGATCTGTACATGACATTCTGTCTCATCAGAAAACGCTACTTTGAAAGTAGAAGATACTTGTTTTGATTTGATTCACTTTGAATATGCCTTCTTTGATAACTCATTTGTGATAATCTGTCGCCGTTTTGTTTTGCTCCTAATTGCTATGTGCCAAAAAAAAGGTGCGGTGGAAATCTAGGGATCATATGATATCCTTATGTGTTTTAATCACACATTTACACTGGTCGAATGTTGTGCCTTTGTTTATTTTGAGATGTTCTATCTATTATAAATTGATCTGACGCTTTTCTATTTCTGTTCATAAATCATTCTTTGCAAATATGATCATTTACCCAATGTGAAAACGGCTATGCATATTTTTATTTTTCTCCTGTAACACCGTCACATTTTGTTCTGTGAGTATTGGTTACCGTTTCAATTCACGCAATTATATTCAAATAAATTTGGTGTTTTAATGCACTGAATATTTTTCCTCGAAGTTGTTTGTTATTATTTAAATAATGTTGAAACCTCAGCACATTTTGTCTTGACATTTGTACAAAAAAAAAACTTTTTTGGTCTTTTTGGCTGTATCTAATAAATAATCAATCACAATGTTGACAAAATCTGCTAAATATATGTTCTATTTCTTTGTAGTGGATTAGTTTGAATTTTCTAAAATGGGACTTGTGTCCCACATATTGTGTATAACTATAACTTTTATTTAGGGGCGGGCAACCTTATTTTTGTCTCACTCTGGATAGATCCCTAAAATTGACCTCTCTATTTAGCTTTAGCTTTTTCTTTATTATTATTATTTTATGTATTCATTTTCTTAGTTTCTTTTTTTTATTATATATATATATTTTTTACTTTGGGGATGTATTAAAAAAAATGTTATCTCTTTCATTTTGATTGGTAAAAAAAATATTTTTGTCTCACACAAATCGACAGCTCTATTTAGGCTTTTTTGTAGCTTTTTTTTCTTATTATTTTATTATTTATTATTACTATTATTGTGTTATTCATTTTCGTCTTATTTCCTTTTTATTATTATACATTTTTACTTTGGGGATGTATAAAATTCAAATTTGATTTAATGTTATCTCTTTAATTTTGATTGGTAAAAAACTTTATAAAAAGAATAGACGGCTTGAATAACATTTTTGATATTTTATTTACTAATAATTTGTTGGAAAGGAGAGAAAATGCTTATTTATCTACTTAAAAATTTTCAGGCCTAAAAATAAAAAAAATAAAAAATAAATAAAGTTTCAGGCCTGTTGAATATTAGAAGCGCACTCTGAAGACAAACTCAAGGCCGGGGAAGCACGTGGCTGAGCACGGTAATGACTCCGGAAGTGACGACTTATAACCTTTCCAGATCGAGGCCGGCAAGATGGCGGCGGACACGCAGGTTGGTGTGACTCGATCCGCTGCAGCGTGAACATTAAAACGCTAACTTTTCTTCTGTATCTCGCCGCTTTCTTATGAGTTTTCAAAGAAGATGATGCATGATCTGTGAGCGCGTGATGTTCAGAAACATTAGAAAACGCTGTGCGCGCATGAATGTGTATTAACAATGATAAACAACATTAATGATAGCACAGTTGCATAACACACACATTTATTAGGATTTAACCGTGATTGGAAAGAGAACGATACTGTTTTAAGCGTGTCACCCTCTTATTTGATCTCAAACACACCGTAGAAAGTGCCAGAAGTGCCATGTTAGTGGACATAGTATCCTAGTAAAACCATGTGTTTTTGTTGTTGTTGTTGTAAATATAGCAGTGTATTATCACTGTAATCTTCAAAATGCTGTGTAAATACCTGATCAAACAATCACCTGATGTACTTTGTGTAAGGAGGCACTTATGGAAATGTATCATGGTAATCTTAATTCATGCCTGAACTACTAATATAAAACCATAACCAGTGAATATCCGTCTGGCAGGTGACTAACACCATGTCAGCTCATGCTCTCTTATAGTAACAATAAATGGAGTGATTAATATTGTGGTGGGAGCACTGTTTACTGTGGTGGACTGTGATATGATATCCATCTTTTGGTTTAGCTGCATGTGTCTTAAGCAGCGTCTGATGGCTGTTATCTGTGTTTGCAGGGGCAGGTTTCAGACACACTGAAGAGATTCGCTGTGAAAGTCACGTCGTCCAGCGTTAAAGAGCGCAAAGAAGTTCTTCAAGAACTGAAGGACTGTGTGAGAGGAAAGGGTGAGCTTATCTGCCTGCTGTTGTATCCGACTAAAGGAATACTTTAACAAAAACACCGTTCAAGCATCAGTTGCTCACTACATTTCAAGTCGTTAGAAGTCCTGCTCTACTTTTTCAAAATGTTTTTGAAAGAGTCTCTTCTGCTCACCCAAGACAACATTTATTTGATCAAATATACAGTAAAAATGTGAAATATTATTGCAATTTTAAAATAGCTGTTTTCTATTTGAATATATGTTCAAATGTAATTTATTTCTGTTATGCAAAGCTGAATTTTCAGCATCAGAAATCATTCTGATATGCCGATTTGATGCTCAAAAACATTTATTATTGTATCAACAGTTGTGCTACTTTGTATATTGTGTAAAGCAGTGTTTCCCAACCTTTTTTTTTTAGTCGCGGCATCCTTTGGAAATTTTAAGAAACTTAAAATTTTGTCACAATATTTGAATTTCTAACTTCGATATGATAAAAGTATAGATATTCGGTACAACAGGGAAGAACTGCAGAATATAAATGCCATGCAGATATTTTAATATTATTAAAAAAATGTGTCCATCAGTGGTGGCAATCAGTAGGCTAATTTCTAATGAGACCAATTTATATGACAGATTTTAATGTAGGCTTTTATACATATAACATTATTTAATTACCATTATAACTAGCTATCTCACACATTTTTGCTCTTTCAGTGTTTTTTTAATTTTACAGTGGGGTAATTTTGGTGCAGTAGCACGAGATAGCTTGATTTCAAACTTTGAATTGAATAAAAAATGAGAAGTAAGCAGTCACTAATAAAATAAGAACAAATAAAGAAATGAATAATGATAGCACAAATAAAAAAATAACGACAGGCCTTCGAATTAAATAAATTGCTTTTTAGTTTTTCAGGTAGGTCTAACAGTACGGTTAAGATATTTAACTTTTTTTTTTTTTTTTTTTACCATTTATCCAAATAATGTTTAGTTCTAGAAAGCTATTATTATCAGAACACGTGAGCATAACATAGCGGTTAGCAGATCAATGAATGAGAGGGCAGCGTTACCAGAGTTGCCCATATACCACACCATGTTACACACAGTAGGGCAGGGGTGGCGAACGTCGGTCCTGGACAGCCGCAGCCCTGCAGAGTTTTGCTTCAACCCTAATCAAACACACCTGAACAAGCTAATCAAGGTCTGAAGGGTTACTAGGAAGCTACAGGCAGGTGAGTTTTAATTAGGGTTGGAGCTGAACTCTGCAGGGCTGCGGCTCTCCAGGACCGGAGTTCGCCACCACTGCAGTAGGGCTATTGCAGACAGAAACAATACTGTACTACATCGATGTTTCCTGTCGGCTCAATTTTTGAGTGGACTTTGCTGTTCTGATTCGCATGAATGGTGTACGAGTGGAGCTGAGCGGAGCGCACATGCATAGAGCGGGATAATATGCAGAGCGTCACACCGCGTGAAAGTGAATCCTGAGCGGTGAACTCATTTTTGGCAGCCGGAATTTCGGTGCATCTCTAATTATTGGCGACATCAGAAATGGATATTATATAATAGATGCTTTTTTGAACGTTTTAGCAATTTAAAAATATTAAAAAATGATTTTTTTACACTGCACCCCTGCTCTCGACAGACGGCACCCCGGTTGGGAAACACTGGTGTAAACTGTGATGCATTTTATTTTTGAGGGTCTTTGTTGAATAGAAAGTTTAAAAGAACAGCATTTATTTGAATAGAAATCTTTTGTATGTCTTCACTGTCACTTTTGATCAGTTTAATGCATCCTTACTGAATAGAAGTATTAATTTCTTTAAAAAAAAAAACTCTACTTTTGAGCAGTAGTGTCTGTTAACTCTGCATTCACACATGTGCATCTTCAGATATGGGTTTGGAATGATGTGACGGTGTGAATGACTTTGATTTGAATCCTCTAATTCTTTGTGGTTAAATTCTCTCCTCAGATCTTCCTGAGCCAGCCATTAAAGGACTGTGCAAGCTCTTCTATCTCACTCTGCACAGATACAGGTGAGTGCGAGTCGTTTCCTCTCCTCTGTCCATTAAAGCATGTTTTTATACTGAAGGTGGGCTTGATCTCTCTTCTCAGGGATGCTGCGTCTCGGCGAGCTTTGCTCTCGGTCATCGAGGTGCTCGTCCAATCGCAGCCTGATGCCATTGCGACCAACCTCCCTCCCGGTCTGCTGAGCTGTGGGGTGGTCAGCAGGGGCGTGATGCCCGGGTGAGTGACCGCCACATTTATACAAAATAACTAACGTGGAATGCCAGCAAATTAGGCAAAATTTTGCTGAATAAATCAAAAGTGGCACTGTACAGTGAATTAGATCACGATATGAAATAGAGTCTGAATATTAATCCGCCAAAGGACTGCTATTTAATATGAAGTCTGGGTATCTCTGTGTGATTGAGTGCCGCAGTTTCGTCTTCTACACATACTGAAGCGTCTGCCGTCTCACTATATGAGGACGTGAACACATGAAGTTCATCTCCAGAACTGCTCTGAGAGACACTTCACCAGCATTTCGCCGTTTCATTCGAGAAAAGCTAGTGTCATGTTATATACAAACAGATACTCAAAGTACTCCAAAAAACCTAGGGTAGTGGCAAATTTAAAAAATGTAAAATTGCAACTAATTAGTATTTGGTTTGAAAGTAATTAGTCTTTTAATATGTCATAAATTAATTTTTGTTGTAAATATGTCTGACAAGATTGTTACACTGAATGACATTTTAGTGGGTCTCGTCTGTAAATCAGGGAAAAATGTATGATATTTATTTTTTGCTCAGAAAAACAAAACTGCAATTAAATTAAACAGAAATGTTGTTATTTTTTTGGGGAAAACAACAATTTAAAGCAGTATTACACTTTTAAACCCTTTTTTGTCTTTGACCCACATATTAAAGTAATGATGTAAAAACTAATTTTTTTAAAGAATATAAAACTATTTTCTTCCATGTTTTACTTTTTAACAGTAAATCATAAATACAGAAAATTAAAACATAAAGCATAGCATTTGGGAAAAATGGATTTATAGGGCCCTAAAATGGTAGTTTTTGTGAAAAATTTTAATAAATTGTTGTAAACTTGTATATTTTTTATATTTCATGATTTCAATCATTTAGACATGATGTTTGACTACTACAAATTTATTTAAACTGAATCCAGAAAAATTCAAACGGAAAAAAATAAATTTTGGAGAAAATAAAACGGAAATTGTTTTTTTGTTAACCTTTTAATAAATTGTTTGTACATTGTATTAGTTTCACGATTTCAATAAATTCGACATATTTGATTACTAAATTTAATTTAACCATTAAAACGGAATCCAGAAATTTAAAACATAATTTGAATAAAATAAAATTGATTTCACAGAGAATCCAGAAAAATGAAAACCAAAAATAATAAATTTTGAAAAAAATAAAACAGAACTTGTTTTTTTTTTTTTGTTAAACTTTTAATAAATTGTTTGTACATTGTATTAGTTTCACGATTTCAATAAATTAGACATAATATTTGATTACTAAATTTAATTTAACCATTAAAACAGAATCTAGAAATTTAAAACATAAAAAACGGAATTTGAGAAAAAATAAAATGATTTCACAGAGCCGCAGTAATCTTATAGTTATTAGTGGTGCGACGATAAATCGATTCATGAATGGATTCTGAGCTTAGTTTTTAACAGCAGATGGCACTGTGTGCTTTACAAACAGCCGTACTCTGCTTGCTTCCAGTTCCTTACACACACACACACCACTTGAACCTAAAATAATCATTCATAAAGTTCAAAAAGGTTGAAGCGAATTACAAGACTGTTCACAGTGGGCTGTGTTTACATTAATCTTGCATCGTAAAAGCATAAAAGCCGAGGTGCAAGTACATTTAACCACGTACATTACTCAGCCGAATGCTCAAGCGCTCTTCTTGGTGAGCGTTTAAGTGTGCGGTTAAACACTAGCCTAGAGCGCCATCTGCTGTTAAAAACTAAGCTCAGAATCAATTCCAGAGAGAATCACGATGCATTCGGAAAATCGCAGAAATTATGTAGTGGTGCGACGATAAATCGATTCGTGAATGGATTCTGAGCTTAGTTTTTAACAGCAGATGGCACTGTGTGCTTTACAAACAGCCGTACTCTGCTTGCTTCCAGTTCCTTACACACACACACACCACTTGAACCTAAAATAATCATTCATAAAGTTCAAAAAGGTTGAAGCGAATTACAAGAGTGTTCACAGTGGGCTGTGTTTACATTAATCTTGCATCGTAAAAGCATAAAAGCCGAGGTGCAAGTACATTTAACCACGTACATTACTCAGCCGAACGCTCAAGCGCTCTTCTTGGTGAGCGTTTAAGTGTGCGGTTAAACACTAGCCTAGAGCGCCATCTGCTGTTAAAAACTAAGCTCAGAATCAATTCCAGAGAGAATCACGATGCATTCGGAAAATCGCAGAAATTATGTATCGTCGCACCCCTAATAGTTATCAGAAGCGAACAACCATGAGGTGCATTCAGATATAATGTCAAATGTCCACAGGAAGAGCACGGCTTCAGGAGCCTGCTGCGCCCTGCCCTGGACCTGCTTGATCGTTCAGACCGTCTTCCCCTCCGCAGACAGGAGAGAAGGTGCCAAATGGAAGAAACTGGTCAGTAGTATTTGCCATTCAGAGAGTTAATTTGCTATATTTATCATTCATAGTTTAGCGGGAGTTCCAAACCTGTATGGCTTACTTTTTATTGTTTTGATCTTTACATGTGGTCTGTCCAATCATATTCTCTCTTTGTGTCTCCTCCAATCAGGTTGAGGTTCAGAGTTTGCTGCTGGCGGAGGTGGTGGGCGGAGCCTCAGGGAACGCTCTCAAGTCAATCAGCAAATGCTTTAACAAGCTGTGGAAGGAGGTAAAGCTACAGGAATTCACTCTGACGTCTTGTGCACTACAGTAAAAAAGACTGAGGGGGCTAAGATTTGTAATGTTTTTGAGAGAGAGTCTCTTCTGCTCACCAATGCTGCATTGATTTGATCAAAAATACAGTAAAAACAGTAATATTATGACATTATTTCTATTTAAAATAACTGTTTTCTATTGAAGTCTATTGTAAAGTGTAATTTATTGAATTTTCAGCATCATTACTCCAGTCTTCAGTGTCACATGATCTTCAGAAATCATTCTAATATGCTGATTTGCTGCTCAAGAAACATCTCTGATTATTATCAATGTTGAAAACAGTTGCTTCATTTTTTAAATTTTATTATTTTAACCGTGATGCATTTGTTTTCAGGATTCTTTGATGAATAGAAAGTTCAAAAGAACTGCATTTATTTGAAATAGAAATCTTTAGTAACATTATACATGTCTTTAATGTCACTTTTGATTAGTTCAATGCATACTTACTGAATAAAAGTATTAATTTTTTTAAAGATCCTATTGACCCCAAACACTTTTTAAACCTAAATCTTTCTCTGTAAATGTAAAAGCTTGTGTCTAATCAATTGTTACTGTTGTTCAGATGAAGTATAACAATAGTCTTTCTGTGATCTGTTTAAAACATGCACCCTATAGATTTCAATTCATAAACGGTCTGTGTTTCTCCAGAACCCGGGCCTGGTGGATCAGTACATGAGCACTCTGCTGAGTTTGGATCAGAGCTGTGTGTCTGTGCCGCTGCTGGGCTTGTGTGTGGATTTCTGCACAGCGCACAAAGACATCGCTACTATCAACAAACACAAGGTGGAAAACTCAAGCCCTTGTCATTCCTGTGCTAAACCTGTCAAATGTGTCCACTGCGCTGCTGCTTCTGATTCAGTGTTATTTAAAGATTTTTTTATATTCCAGTTCTACTATTTGTATAAGTCACAGTATATAAGTCGCGTTTTTTTATCATCTGAAATGTGCTACGAATCTACGACTTATACTTAATGTAATATAATAAAAAATAATGTTTACATAATAAATAGTAGCTTAGCAATCAAATGTTAGGCTACATTGTGAATATGGAAACATTTGGATTTGTGCCGAGTGCGAGAGAGATGTGAGCCCAACGCCGTTTTGCTTTATAGGTCTATTTATAATGGGATAAATGTTGTTTAGAATGAATGCTTAGTGTTCATAATGTGTCTAAACATTTCATTTGCCGATATTTTAAATTATTATAGAATAACACGTGACTTGGACACCAATTCGACTTATTTTGTTTTTTTCCTCTCAATAATGCATTTTTTCCCAGATGTTGCTTATACTCAGGTGTGACTTATTTTTTTGTAAAATACGTTGATATTTTCGATTAGCTTTCATTTTTGTATTTTAATTTTAGTTTAATATTTATTAATTTTATGTGCTTTTGCCATTTTTATTAGGTTTTTTTTTATATATACTTCTGTTTAGCTTTAATTTATTTTTATTCCAGTTTTAGTCATTTTAGTACTTTAAACTTATTTATTTCAGTTAGGTGCCAAAGCAACATTTCTAATTAATTGAATTTAAGTTTTTGTTTTTCATCTCATTTATTTCTTTTTTATTTCAGCATTATTTAGTTGAAGGAAAACTATTTTTTATTAATTTACTATTAGTTAACGAGTATTCTTTAGTAGAGCCCGACCGATATATCGGTTTGCCGATATGAGCCTGTCGCCGATATATCGGTATCGGCGAATAGCCGATATGATTTTTTTTTTTACAGAACATATAACGCAGAAAAAATGCTTGAAATGGTGTAATTGCTTACTTTGTCCAGCAGAGCGTGCTCTATTGTTTGATACTGGCGACCTGGATGAAACGCTTTAAAGCTTAAGTCTATGGAAAAGCATTGAAACTTTGAACGGCCATATCTCCATAACGGCACGGCGAATACGCACCAAATTCAGGGGATCCCTTCAGCTCGATATATCAATATCGGCCTTTTTTTACTCCCTAATATCAGTGTCGACCCCAAAAACCCATATCGGTCAGGCTCTATTCTTTAGTTTTAACAGTAGCAACACTGTTGTGTTTCAGGCGGCTCTCTTGGACCTGTATGTGAAGACGGTTCTCATGAGTAAGACCAGACCGCATCAGCACATCCTGGTGAGAATCTGCGCTGTCTTGTTGTATAATAAATCTTTGCAGTGCTGAAATCAGAAAGCCTAAAGCTGGATGTGTGTTTTCAGGTTAAGAGCGGCTCGATGCTTCGCCACATGTCTCACACAGAGTTTAAAGAGCAGCTGCTGCCCACATTACAGAAAGCTCTGCTGCGCAGCCCGGAGAACTCCATGCCGAGTGAGTCACGCGCAAGCTAGCGCACACGTTGATTCACTGTGATACATATGTCAGGATGAATCATGATATCATCATCATTAGATTGCAATTGTTGTTGCTCCGAGCTAATTATTATGAAAGAATGTTGCTGTCAGTGTTATTTTAGTATAATTGAGATATTATTATAGCTTTATTAATATTTTGAGGTAGTTTTGACACATGCATTTCTGCTTAAAGGTGAAGACCCAACTCTATGTATGTTTTGTAAGACCCTCTCTTTCCATTAAACCTATTTTTTAACTGATCCACTTTTAATGCAAGTAGACAATGTATGTAGGAAGCTTAGTAAGATAGGAGTTTAGTAAGATAAGAAAGGTTTTAGAATTTTCATGTATATCTTGTAAACATGTTTTATCATATGTAAACATCTTGTATAATCCTAATATTTTTTTTCCCTCTTTGCTTGGGTTTTATTTTTTGTGTTTTTGCAACTCAGTTTTTGCCATAAAGATAGCCTCAGATGCTGACATTGCATTTAAATCTATACTACTACTTGAATTATTATTATTTTTATAGTTAATTTTAGTTAAACTTTTTTAAAAAATAGTTATCATTTAATACGTTTTTTTATTTGTCTATATAGTTTTTTTTATTTTCATTTTATTTATTTTTTACACTTTTTTTTGTCTATATATTTTGTCTATAAGTGTCTATATAGTTACATTTTTATTTATTTTAGTAATTTTAGTACATCAGGTTAAACTAAAGGAAAATGAGAAATGTTATTTATATATATATATATATATATATATATATATATATATATATATATATATATATATATATATATATATATTATTTCAGTTAATTTTTATTTTAAGTACTTTTGTTTCTAGAGCTGCTCAAATAAAATAATACAGATTCAATTGCAGGAATATTTACTTAATTTTTAATCTTATTCTCTACCAAGATTGAACAAGCTATTACTTATTACTGTATACACTGATCTGTAATCTCTCAACAATCCAGAATCCTGACAATATGATGTTTTAGTCATGTTTCCACCTCTGTTGTCGGTGTTTCCTCCAGCGATCTCCTGCATGCTGGCATCTCTCACTCTTGATCTGAGTCCGTACGCGCTGGACATCGGGAAGGGCATCTCCAGTGAGTGCTCGTCAGTATGATTGATGTTCGTCTGAGGTGTCGTGTGAAGGTTTGATGTGCTTTTTGTGTGTTTCAGGTCAGCTGAAGGCCAATAACCCAGAGCTCATGGAGCAGGCGGTGACGGCCCTCCAGAATCTGGCCCAGCAGTGCAGCGACCCCAGCGCCGTCCAGGACCTCGTCAAACACCTCTTCGGCATCCTCGGAGGTCAGTGGATGCTTTCATGGCTTCAGTAGTCATGGAATTTTTTAATTACTTGCAATAGCGTGCAGACTCAGTTGTGAATATAAAAATGTGACCCTGTCTGTGAAATCCATGCTAAAGTCACAAAATCTAATTATGAGATTATGTTTAAGTTTGATTTCAACCGTTAAATTCACTATGATTTCAATCTTTGACATGGCCTTACTCAGTCAATATTAAAGATATAAAGGTTATATTTTCACAGAATGTTCTACATCTTTATAAAGGATGATTTTATGTAGAAAACTGTAAATCACAAAAAAATTACTTTAGCTGGGTTTTCACATGCAGGGTCACAAATGTATAGCTTTATTGCTTTTATTGGCTAGTTATTGGTCTTTCAGATATTAGTGTGTGGAGTAAAACTTGTTTTAACCCTCACAACATATTCAGGTCCATTTAGACACGGAAAAATACATAAACATTTCTAAAAAAACAACATAGTGTGTAGTAAGGGAATTTTGCAAGTGCTTTAAGACCCTTAAAATACACCTTTAACTTCTTCTTTTTTTTTTTTTTTTTTTTTAAGAGCCATAACCGTTTTAAAAAATGATGCACGTTTCGTGTTCAGGTCATTTTGGAGACGGTTATGTGTGGCATACCAGTACGTGTCAAAAATAATTTTGTTAAATTATCTATGAAGTTATATTAGTGTCAAAAAAACTTTTGTAAAATATATTTAATCCTTTCCCCATATCTCACACATTTTTGGAACTGAATTTTGTTGATAAACATGAATATGTACACCTATCGACCAACCATTGCAGCATGTAAAATGTAATTTTTTCATCTTAAAGTGAAAGTTTATGCTAGTAAAATTAATTAATTTGGTTTGAAAATTTATCAGAGTAATATTTGATGTTTTGTTAGAAATATGTAGGTTTCATAAATTTGGAGCAATCATGAATGAATATATATATATATATATATATATATATTATATGTTTTCTGAAGATGAATGAAAAGAATATTGTGTTTGGAATGACATGAAGCTAAATAAATGATGATAAAATTACTAGCCCTGGCTTGAACTAGCCCATTAGTGAAAATAATATTGTGAGGCCAGCATCATTTTGATTGGAAAAAGGCATTCAAATTCAGATTCATTTGTGATTTGGAGATTTGTAGAAAAATTGAGAGAATATATATATATATATATATATATATATATATATATATATATATATATATATATATATATTTGTGTATAATTATTATTTTTTTAATTACTGAAAAGGGCTAATAACAGTAATAACATAGCAACATTCAAAACCTTGAATTTTTTCACATTCACTCATTAATGTTAGGATTGTAGGTAATCTAGTTAGTTGTTAATCAGATGCAATATGGTTTTAATTGTTAGATATTTTTCACTTTTTTTTTTTTTTCAAAATGTTATGACTGTTTTATAAAACAGCAATTCAGAATAGAGAAATCATATGCAGATTTTGAATGCATTATGAGGGTTAAACCAGCTTTGTCATTTTATATGTATAATGCATTAAGCAATACAGATTGTTTCAAAGCAGCTTAACATTAATAAACAGGTACATAACGGTGTACATGTAAAGTTAATCAGTTATGAAAAGAGGTCAAATCAGCTTTAAGCAATGCTACAGAAGGCAATAGTGTCGTAATTCAGCTCAATTGAGTTCACTGGCAGTGTCAGTCCAGAGTATTGTCTTTTACAGCCCAACCGAGCATGTCAAAAGAAATGTACAATAATAACCATTTGAATAAATTAATTATAAGGTTTGAAACCAGACATGCATGGAAAAACACACCAATAAAGCTCAGTCAAATTGTTCAATTTGTCATGGGAAAAGTCATGAAAAAAGTATTGGTTTAGGAATGCAAGGGATCTCGTACACGTAACCAGGACCGGCTCACTCTTTAAAGCAGGATTTAGCTCATTTTGGGTTCTGTTTTGCACAGGCTCAGAGGGGAAGCTCACTGTTGTGGCCCAGAAGATGAGCGTTCTGTCAGGTGAATATTTTGTCTATTTTTGACTGCTAATTTGCATAACGAAATATGTTTTTGCATTCGACTGCACTGCTTTTTAATTATTTTCCTATGTAAACTTGCACTACATCTTTCCATAAGATATGAACGCTGCATTTTTAGAAGTTAAAACATTCAACTTTTAAAAAACATGCTTCATGAAGACCCTACGTTTTTGTCCATTCCACTTTTTTTAAATGCAAAGACACACTTTGTTTAAAAATCATTCCCTTCAGCAAAGCTCCCAAACCTCATTCTCACTTCTGCATGAGTCTTTTGCGTTCATGTAACTGCCTGCTGTCATATTGAGCATGGTTTATGTGTGTTTTTCAAACAGGAATCGGAAGTTGCAGTCATCATGCCGTCTCTGGCTCTTCCTCTCAGTCTCTGAGCTCCAGCGTGGCTGTGATGTTCATTCCGTACCTGCAACAGGAAGGTGAGAAACGTACTGTTTTTTTTTTATATACATTAAAAAATAACTTTTTTAATATGCATTTTTCATGCCGGTTCATTCATGCTTGAGGTTGCTTTCATAAATTGGAATTTTGTGAAGGAATAGCAGGGGATTTGTTTATTGAAGAGCTAAAAATGAATTAAATCATAATTATGTAAAATTATCCGCATTAAAAAAAATAGTTTCTCTAGCTTGCTTCCCAATCTTTTGTTCCTCTTTTTTTTTTGTGCCATTTTTAGAAAAAAAGGTGCCTGCTGAATGTGTAAATGTAAATGTAAAATTAAAAAAAAATTAAATAAACAATCAAAATAAAACATTTACTAAAACAAAAATATATATTTTACCGCTTAGCGACATCAGAGAACTGTTTACATGCAAATTTGTTGTTTTGAAATGCTTGACTTAAATATTAATGTAATATTAAATAAGATTAATTTTAATAACTCACAATTTCGGCAGGACTTCAAGTAAATATTTAGGGTTATTGACAAATAAATCATAACTTTATTAAGATTTTATTTTTACCCAATTTTTTTATGTAATGACTTAATATAATTTTTTACTTGTTGCAAAATGTATTTTAAATTTGTAATTTGATTAGCATAAAACAGTCTTAAATGGTCTTACATTTCTGAAACGTGCATAAAAACCTAATATCTGCCGATTGTTTCTCTCTCTCCTCGTGTGTGTTTGTAGTCCATGAGGGGACGCTGGTGCATGCGGTGTGTGTTTTATCTCAGTGGACGAGCCGTTTGACGGTGAATGTGACCTCAGAGTTGAGAGAATGGTTTAAAAAAGCCTTCACCCTCAAGACCTCCACATCCCTTGTGCGTCACGCGTATCTCCAGGCCATGATCGGAGCTTTCAAAGGTCAGTCGGGCTGCTTGGACATTTCAACTTTATACTCCTGCTGCTGATGTTTTAGTCAGAATGAACAGTGTTTGTCTCTGTTCAGGCGATGCTCTCAATCAGGCGGTGGACTTCCTGCCTCTCCTCATCCAGACTGTGGAGAAAGCTGCTGCCCAGAATACCCAGCATGCTCTGCTGTCTGAAGGCGTGGCTGCCTCTGTGCTGCTCTGTCGGCTGTCAGTGCTGGACTCTGTGCCCGGTGAGTGTTCACACTGAGACTGAGAGCATCCTCCTGTGTCTCATGCTGGAGATGTTTATCTTCATGTTCCTCTGTGTCTTCAGAAGCGAAGCTGGCGTCCTTCTGGAACCTGATACTGGATGAAAAGAAACCTCTGTTCACTACCGAGAAGTTCCTCTCTCAGGCCAGCGAAGAAGGTCAGAAACTCTCCAGTTATCCAATAGATCCAGTAGGCCTATATGTTTTGCCATAAACGTTTGAGGGGAAAAAAGGGACAGTTCACCCCAAAATGAAATGTCTGTCATCATTTACTCACCCTCAAGTTATTCCAAGCCTGTATGAGTTTCTTTTTTCTGTTGAACACAAAAGAAGGACACGATTGTTGACGGTAGCCATTGACTTTAATAGGATGGAAACGATTCTATGGAAGTTACCGACATTCTTCAAAATATCGTCTTTTGTGTTCAAATGAAGAAAGAAACTCATGCGGGTTTGGAACAACATAAGGGTTAGTAAATTATGACAATTTTCATTTTTGGGTGAACTGTCCCTTTAACATAACAAACTTTAAAGTTTTTAACACGCTGATTTTTTGAGGAGACTGGGATGAAAGGGTCTAGTAACACCTATAAATACCAGCGTAATTCTAGTAATATTTATATATTATTAAATTATTAGCTTTTATTTTTATATTTTTAGTTATCATTTTAATTTGGCATTTTATTATGAGTCATTATTGTTTTTATATATATATATATATATATATATATATCTCTCTCAAGTTAAAATAAGTGTTGCACTGGCAACTAGCTGAAGTTTTTATTTTTTTTTTATATATATATATATTTTATTTCTGTTCATATTTTATTTCACTATTGGGTGTTGATTTATGTCTTTAGATATTTTCCTTTGTGGGTTTAAAAAAAAAAAAAAAAATTTAAATCTCTAGGAATTAAAAATCTG